ACATCGGACGAATGCAGCATTGGGCCCCGCCCGACATCGGACCGAAGTTTGATATACATATAACATATCAACAAGCATATTACATAAACACATAACATAAACATATAAACATTCCTCAGGCTTGCCTCGGCATCGGACCGAAATCCGGTATCATATAACATAACATATAAGCTGAACATTCCTCGGGCTTGCCCCAGCATCGGATCGAAGCCCGGAACATATAACACATAACATATAAGCTAAACATTCCTCGGGCTTGCTCTGACATCGGTCCGAAACCCGGAACATATAAACATACACATGCAAGAATCATGAAGACATCAAGCATACAAGCATTCCTCGGGATTTCCCCAGCATCGGACCGAAGTCCGGAAACATATAACCTACATCGGGCTAACCCCGACATCATATCTAAGTCCGACATAAGATAACATATATAAACGGGCCGACATTTGTGCCTTCGACCCATTCCTACTGGAGGAAAACTCACCTCAAATGTCGAGTGAAGTAGTTGAACGTCTATGCTCCTGCAACCGGCTCTACTCATGCCCTATACAAAACAACCCCTTAGATACCATTCCTTACATCAAGACCCCTTTACGAGTCAACCTTGGTCAAAGTCAAGGTCTAAGTCAATGTCAACGCCCATTCAAAGTCAAAGTCAATAATCCGAGTTGACTGAACTCGTCGAGTCATCCCCCTGACTCGCCGAGTTCCCTCGCTACTCATAGTCGTGATAGAACGAATCAAATCGTCGAGTCCCTTCCCAGACTCGTCGAGTTCTACCTTGTACAGAATCGGGACAAATCGCCACAACTCGTCGAGTCCCTCTCTGGACTCGCCGAGTTCCTCTCTGGACTCACCGAGTTCCTCAGTCTGTTTGGGCCATCTTAATGGATTAAGCCCCAACTCTTCAGATCTAAGCTTCATACTTCTCATACACCCTGAAAATGTCCTTTTAAGGGTAAAGCTTCCAACGTTACATGTTAATACCTCTTCTTAATGGGTTTAGCTCAAACAGTAACTCCTTAGGACCTAGATCTTGGTCCACAAGCCATCCATACTCCAAACTAAAGCTTGCAAACAGAGATTTAGACCTTAAACACCACATGAACACGTAAAGCTTCCACATTTCTCTACATGCATTGCCTTTTGGAGCTTAAAAGGCCAAAATGACACCCTATGGCTTGCATGGAGCTTCAGTGGCCATAAAGTTTGCACCTTTATGCCATGAAAGCCCTCAATGATTCTAGATCTGAAGGTATACTCACTTGGGACGTACATATCCCAAAGATTAAGCTTCTTGGACCAAAACCCAATAAAATGGTAATAAAGAGATCTAAGAAGCTACTAAGCAGGTTTGAGACTTGATTACCATAAAATTATGAGAATGAATGGAGCCTCTGGATCTACTTGCTTCTTCTTGAATCCCCAAGCTTCTCCTTCCTTCATAAGCTTCAAAACACACTAAGATTCACTCAAAAATGGGTCACAAGCTCACAAATGCATTAGGGTTTCTGAATCTAAGGTTTGGGACTTGGAGGCTAGAAATGAGGCCATCAAGTGTGGATTAGCGCGCTTAAATAGGGTGCAAAACCCCGAAATTAGGGTTTCACTCTGGCAACCCTACTCGTCCAGTTGAGGCTCTCAACTCGTCGAGTAGGTGACTTAAAATCCCGCGTCAATTCTGGTTCCTACGCTTCAGGAAGAGGGGAAAGTTGGGGCCCCGATATATTGGGACATTTCGGGTGATAGCCATGGTGGGAAAGATAGCGTATAAGTTGGATTTGCTGAGGAGCTCAATCAGATTCATAGCACCTTCCATGTTTCACAGATGCAGAAGTGTGTGGATGATGATTCAGCGGTTATTCATTTGGATGATGTTTCGGTTTATGATCACCTAAATTATATTGAGAGACTAGTGCCGATTTTAGATCGGAAGACGAAGGCCTTGCGCAACAAGGTGGTATCTTTGGTCAAGGTTCAGTGGCAGCATCGAAACGATTCTGAATGGACATGGGAACCCGAGTCTGAGATGCAGGAGCATTACCCAGAGTTGTTCACAACAGCAGACTTCGAGGACGAAGTCTAGTTCAAGTGGGGGAGAATTGTAACACCCGGGTCATGGAAGTACTTATTTATTGAATTATAGCTTTTGGATAAGGGTCATGACGTGATACATGGTAGTCACGTCATGAGTGACCATTGACCAGTTGACCCGTGTTTTTGAGCCTTATGATGTGAGACTTTGAAGCACACGATGTGAGAACGGGCTGATGACTAAAACCCTAATATTTTAGGAATTTAATGGAATGAGAGGGCTAAGGTACCCCATCCTTATCCTCCATCACTCTCTTGTCTCTTGGAAACCCTAATATCGACCCACTTGAAGTCCTTAGCCATTTTTGTGATCCTTGAAGCATTCTTTGGTGGTTTTGACTCCTTGAAGGGGAAGAAGACCTTGGTGGAGCAACCTCTTGGCATTCCAGCTTCTACCTTACCTTCTTCTTGAGCTTTTGGACCATTGTAAGTCATAAAGTTCAGAACTTTTTTTACCTCTTGCATGCTAGATCTAAGTTTTAAGCTCCTTTTTGCATGATTGTGATAGATTGTATGCATGGGATTCATAAAGTTGGCAACTTTATGGATCATTGAGTCATTCTCTATGATATAGTCCTTGGATCTGAGTTTTTGGTATAGTTTGAGACTCCAAGCATGAGTCAAGATCTCATTTTTCCTTATTTTGACATAGTGAGTGTTTGAGTCATGCATTGGATGCATGACTAAAAAGCTATGATTTTTACCATCCTTTAGGTGAGGGAAGACCCTCTGGAAAGTCCCAAGTTATGGTTGTAAGGAATAAGAGATTAGTGCTCAAAGCTGGCCAGAGCAGCGCTCACGAAGTTAACATTAAGCCTGTCATATCGTGAGGATGCTTGCCATCCCGACTATTTTGTCCGGACTAGGTCACGACGTGACGCAGGAAGAGGTCACGACGTGACGATGACTAGAATCAAATTGATGGGTTGAGTTGACCCACTGAGTTAGGTCTGTTTCGAGTTGATGCTCACGATGTGACCACGAGCTAGTCACGCCGTGAGGATCAGCTGTTGGAGTTTGGACCGTTGACATGAGGCCATTTTGGGATATTTGTGCCTTAGGGTTCTCTAGATGGGCTGGGCCATTAGTAGGCCTAGTTTGGACTTGGGCCATTATTGGGCCTCATGATTATGGGTTTAACCTTAGAAAGTAACTAGGGTAGATATTGATTGTGTTCAGCGTGAGGAACCGTTGTGCAGCAGACGTGGGTGTGGGATTTGCTATCTTCTGATTGAGGTGAGTTTTCTCCACTGTATTTATGGGTCACAAGCACCAAGGTCGGCCCATTGGATTAGATATCTTGTTTTGTTGTGTGCTGTTATGCGGAGTTATGTGGTACTAGCCATGTGATTAGACTGGTAGATTTGTAGGACTACCTGTGTTTGTTGTTATTGATTGATAATGTTATGTATCGATATGTTATGGTTTACTGGGTTGAGGCGGACGAGCTGATACCTAAGGCCAAGATACTCAGGGCGGTCCGGATAGACTAAAGTCCTGCGAGGTGGTCGAGTTAGACCGAAGGCCCAGAGAGCGGTCCAGATTGGTTGAAGGCCCGGTGAGGCGGTCTAGTCATGCTGAAGGTTTTGTATGCACGTTGTTGTTTGTTATGTTATGTGGTGGTACTTTGGGGAAACTCATTAAGCGTTGGCTTACTATTATAGTTTTGTTTCAGGTACTTCTGAGGACCATGGCAAGGCGAAAGCATGAGCGTGCACATCCTTCGGTTTTATGTTATCTGGATCTTTGGGACACTCTGATTAATGAAAAACACTTTTGAAATAATGGTTTGTAAACGTTATGGATTGAATTTGTTGTTTTGAAAAGTTAAAATTTGTTGTGATTTTTGAGATGCTACACCGCGGAGGCGAGAATTTACAAAACCCACCACACGAACAAAAGAGTAAAATTCTATACCGGAATCGGGTGTTACAGTATATGAGTATATCTGGTCTTACATGTTACGGGTACTTATTTGACATATTTTTCCACTTGGGTTTGAAAGTATTATCAGTCAAATTATATTAAAAAAAAATATTCATGAAAATATACTAGTAAGTAACGCGATTGAAAAAAAAAATATGTCAAATAACATCCACAACAAGTAAACGTGATACAACGTATCATAATTTAAGTTCCTTAAATTTACACCCACATTTCTTAAGCTATCAAATATAGTTGGATGAAGAATTTTAGTCTTCATTCTTTGTCATGTAATGTAATTAGATTTTTCAAGCAACATTAGGCTGCTAGGCATGAGCTTGGGCCCTTAATATCGTGGCTGTATGTGGAGGTCCCAACAATTACTCAACACGGTTAAGAAAAGAAGAAACAATGTCAAAAAGAAATTAATTTTTTTTCCTCTTTAAAGTGGTGTAGTGGGTATTTCATGATATGGAGAATGATATGGTAGATGATGTTACAAAAAAACATGGAGAGGATTCAGTGGAAGACACGTACCCACCATATTTATAAAATACTAAAACTGATGCTAAAATTGTGAAGAAATGACCCGCCTTTGCTTATATAATCTATGGCACTTTCATGGTTAATTCACACAAACTCAGTAGTCATTATATTTCTTTCAATTTCGTCGTTTATAATGTCAACAAATATCTAATTATTATGATGATTGATGTCGAGAGCTATTAGGAAAAGTCAATAGAGGGGGGGGGGGGGGGGGGGGGGGGGTTCAAAAAGCTTAAAAAAATTATCGCATGCACATACAATATCATTAATTTATAGTAGTCACAGCTAAACCACCTTAATAGTAAAAACCTTTTTTTTTTTATGCAATATGTATTCTAAAGATACAAATAGCTAGTAATATAAGCTTGAACTTTGAGTTCCATATATTGTAATATTGTATAATGATATACTAATAACATAAAAGTATACATGTGTCACGTCACGTGTCAACTTAAAAAATCAAATAATTTTTGCTAATTGAAAATAAACACAACAAAGTATGAAATGAAATCCTCTTGTTAGTTTTTTTCAGTTTCATTCTTTGTCAACTCTCAAAAGAATTGCAACCTCCAATTTTGACGCTTTAACACTTATACACACTTCTTTGGAAAATATTATACACTTATTGGTTAGCATGATGGAAGATCCTTTGGCGGAGGACGAACCACCTGATCTTTTCCAGGCCCATCTTCCACCACAAACGCCGTCTTCAATCCCCATCCGGTGTGCAACTCCAAGTGACAGTGAAAGAACCAAACACCTACGTACACAAGAATTAGTTACATATGGTTTTTAGAAGTATGTGTGTGTGTTTGCTTTGTTTGGTAAAGATGATCGATACCTGGATTATCAGCTCGAAATCGAATGGCAACCCAACCACCGGTGGGTACACCAACGGTGTTCCTCTCCGGTGGATCAACCAAGTTATACTTGGCCGGATCCTTTGATGGATCGAAGTTGCCAATGCCAGTTCCAACGACAAAGAAATTAAACCCATGAAGATGAAAAGGATGCGATTCAACGCTTAACAAATTGGTGTCTTGTATGACCAATTCAACGGTGGAATTAAACACAATTTTGCTCAACCGTGTTCCCTTAGAAGTGAAAAGATTAGCAGTAAGGGGAGCACCGGTGTAGTTAAAAGTCGTCGGAGGCTTATCGGGGAAATCGGTTTTAAACACTCCTTTCATGTTAAAGTAATGAGCCTGAAGAAGTCCAGTTTCCGGCATCACAAATGTTATGTTGTTCAACGATGCAGAAAGTCGAGTACCATTGAGGCACGTAGCACAATCACTCTTCCCAAGCCCGATGGTGAAAAACAAGTTCCGATCAACTTTCAACGGCACATTCGCCGGAAAGTTAGGGGTGTTTAAGCTCCGGAGCTTTTGGTTATAACTTAAAGCAAAGTTGGTGTTGTTAGGTAATGGTAGAACAGGGAGTGTAGGGATGACGGTGGTCGGAATGTTTTTATATTGGAAAATTGCGGTGGCGGTTTTGTTGTCAACCGGAATTGGAACATCTTGGAATGGTCGCACCGCCATAAAGTAGCGGCCAGGAGTCTGGCTGGCGGAGACGATCACATTTGTTGTTTGGCCCGGAGCAATCAATAAAGCATTTGTGGTGAATGGTTTTGTGTAAACTGCATCGATCTCCACCACCGTCATGTTGTGGCCGGCGATTGCAAAAAATAGTTCGTCGTTGAGTGCGGCGTTGACTATTCTCAAGAGGTATTTCTTTCCTTGCTCGACTTCCATAGCAAATGTATCTTAAATGAAGAAAAACAAAAAATAAAGTTACAAGATCTAAAATGCATTAATGAGATTATTTGGTACGATCAATCTCAATAAACCAGATATGACATACGTTTCTCGGAACAAGGAAAAAGTGGGCCTGGTTTTCCGTTGATCGTGTGCGCATCAGACATATTTGGTGGCAATCCTAAAGCATTGCCTTGCTTCACAACCTCTTCGACATCTGCATGCCACCATTCACCTACAAATAAGAGATATTTTGTGTTTCTAATTAGATTCTCATAACAATATATAACAATGTGAGAAACATTAAACGATGAAAATGCTTTCCAATAATACATACCAAACACAATGACTTGTTCTGCATCGGGTCGTGGGAATGGAAATGGCACCGATTGTTTTGGTAAAATTACAATAGCACCATATACAGTTGCTCTGAGCCATAGAATATGTGCATGCCACCATAGTGTCCCTCTTTGGCCTGTAATGTTGAAGTCATAAACGTAGCTATTCCCAGTCTGGATTGGGCATTGTGTGATGTATGCCGGTCCATCTGCCCACCCGTTGGCATATTGTTTTAAGCCATGCCTAAGAAAACATGATAAAAAAACATTATACTATATATGTAGGGCGTACCGGTGAATTCGATAGAAAAAGAAAATCGTTTTTACTTCGATGGTATAAAAGAATCATACGAGTCATTGAGTGACACATCTAAAGAATCACGAAATGGTCATGGTCTAGCGATAACAAACCTAAAGAAAAGATATTGTGTACGTGTTTGTTTGTACTTTGTATAATAAATAATTTCTAAACCTCATACCAATGAATGGACATATTGTATTGGGCATGGTTTGAAACGTTGATAAGAACTCTATCTCCTTCTCGGGCATAAACTGTTGGACCTGGAAATCTCCCATTTACAGTTACAATCGGTTTTGCATGGCACAATCTGCTAACGTTCTTCACTTCGACCTTTTCAAATACAAGAATATAACACAATCATTTTCTATAATACACAGAAAAACTTAACTAACAAAAACCAATAAATTAATGTTGTGAAATGGGTTTTACCAACAATGTAATTAATTAAAAGCCATAGAAACTAGCTATCACGACATAGCAAAACTACAAACTTACATTAAACTGATACTTCTTGGTGTCTGCCTTGACCTCAAGAGAAAGCAATGAAACGAACATGAAAATGCAAATAATGAAAACGGATTTTCCGAAAATGAATGTACGATTAGTCATCATCTTCCCCAATCGTTTATTTGTGGGCTTTCTTGAGAATGAATTAGTTGAGGAAGATGAAGATATAGATATACATACATGTTTGTGTATATATACACACACATATATACATATATTAGGTGGAGTGGAAAAGTGAGAAGGGTGTAGACCAAAACGTTTAAGTTAAACATGTGTATAGTAAGACTTCAAAAACCAATTACTCAAACACATAAATAATAAATAATTAAAAAACAAATATAATCTTATTGGAGGTTTGTTTTAGAGTTCCAATGTTTTTATAAGATGAGTAAATTACACGAATAGAACTATGGTTTAGGGTAATTTACGTGTTTGATTCATATCTTATTTTTTAACTCGAAAGTTTTTTACTGTTTGTTTTTGTTATGGGTTTGGTCTCTGTCTTACCTAAAAAGACTATTTTCTCCTTGATTTTTTAACTTATTTTAAAAACACACCCCCAACCCCACCCCTCACCTTACTTTACCTATTCCATCATTTTTCCTGATTTAAATAATAGTATTTTTAGGTAAGACAGAGACCAAACGCGTAACAAAAACAAACAGTAGGGACCAAGCGCGTAACAAAAATAAACAATAAGGACCTTCCGAGTTAAAAAAATAAGTTAGAGACGAAGAGCGCAAATTACCCCAAACCATACGGACCATTCGTGTAATTTACTCTTATAAGATTATACTTTAGGTTTTTGTATATTTATACAGTCGAGGATCGTTATCAAATATTGATGAGATTGATTATGGCCTATAAGGTTTTTTTTTTAACTTGTAACAGAAATCCATTACTGATATCCGATGATTAATATTTATAATTATTTTCATTAGTTTTTGTGTCTATTCATATGTAAAAAAAAACAAAGCATTATATTGTAAGTTTCCCATATTTTAGAAATAAATTGATGTAAATGTGAAGATTTGGACACGAGAGGTACACTAGACCAACCTATCGTCTAGGTGCCGTCGTGAGCTTTGCCGTTAAGGAAAAGGAATACAATGAGATTAAGATTTTCTTTCTATTGCACATTTTTCTCCCAAATGTAAAAATGTAGTATTTAACTATAATAGCGTTTTTTAATTACCATAAACTTGAAATGCATTTTAAAGAAACATGGGTATTGTAAATCAACTAGGAGGTGTCCATCCGTGCGATGCTGCAAAATATATAGAAACTAAGAGATATTTAGAATATAATTAAATTTATATAAGAGATCATTTCTGGTTTATGAAACGAATATAAAAAAACGAATTTTTATAATATCTAGGGAATGAAAACCAATATAGAACCTCATAATATTGAAAATATTAAGTTTTAACGGAAACCACATAGAACTTGTTAAATTTAAGTAGATTGGAATATCCGTAGAACCTCATAATATTGAAGATATCAAGTTTTAACGGAAAATGACATTAGCAGTTTTTGTGTCTATTCTTTTAAATGACCATAATATTTCTGTTTATTCTCTCCCTCAGTTAGAACCCCCAAGTTTTGTATAGATTGTTGGACATCACACATAAGTACCATAAATCTAACACTGTTCACCATGCAAGCGGCGTAAGTTTAAGCATTTGCATGCGCACCAATTGTAAGAGCCGATAAATCTTTGTTGAACTCTGAAGATTTTTGTTTTTGCATATCATAGACCTTGTGAAGGAACCATTTAGGGAATTCGGTTTTTTCATTACTTTAAGGATGAAATGATTTGAATTCACTACATTGATGAAAAAAATATATACATTTAGTAAAAAAAAAGAGAAATTAAAAACAGACAATGAATTAATTAAAAGATAAGAACACTTACGCAATATACTTTCTGACTTCGTCACAACTATCAAGCACAAACCATTATAGATGTTTTCTCTCCTTTAGACTGAGATTTTTCATTTCTTTGCGCTAGCCAGTTGACACTTGGACTGAAACACCCATAACTTTGTTTATTCTATGACAACATCCTCGTTTCTTTCGAGGCGATTGAATCGAGTCTCGACATCTTCAAGGTACATCGAGCAAAATGATATTTCCTATTCAGCGACATAACACTCAGCTATAGAACCTTCCGGCCTCGTCTTGTTTCTGACATAATTTTTTAGTTTTTTCATATACCTTTTGTAGGGATACATCCATCTCATACATATCGGGCATCCACAAATAGCTTCATAAGGTAAATGTAAAAATAAATGAACCATAATGTCAAAAAACTCAAGAGGATAGATCACTTCTAATTTGCACAATATTTTAATAATGGATGTTTTCGCTTCTTTCATATCCTTCACCGATAGTGTTATCGAGCAAGGTTGCTTAAAAAACGTACAAACAATAATTTAATATTGGTATAAAATAAACTTTTTTAAAAAAATAAATAAAATAAAATGAAAGATAACTATTTCCTAGGTTTTGAAAAATGAAAGGAAAATAAAATGGAGGCTTTTTTTGATAATTGAAACAACAATTTTATAAAGTCACACAAACAACAAAGCTATCCGAAGCCAAAATCAACACTATGGTTTTGGGGTATGATTTTGTTCAGACGTGGTTTTGAAAATAGTTGAAGTTTGGCGCGTGAACACTATGGCTGCAATAAATTTGTGAGATGTAGAAGAAGAATAAAAAAATATTATATATATACATCATGCTTGCTAAAATGTTATAGATATATAATGTTATTAAGGTCAAAACAATTTGGTAGCTTGAAGCTTTTAAAGTTGTAAAAGAAGATAAAATCAAAAGCTAATATCTTCGAAAACTACTTCAAATAGATTTCACATTATGAGCTTTTGTTTAGAATAAAAGCTAAAAGCACATATTGTTGAGCGAAAAAAAATTTCCAAGTTTTTTCTTAAAATCTAAAATTTATTAAAAATCTTCATAAGTTATGTGCCAAACACATCCTAATACTTTTTTATAAGAAAACAATAATATGGAGATAGAATGATTAATTTTTCATGTTAAAATTATGGAATAACTATGTTAGGGTACGATATTATTGACCATTATATGTTGAATCAAATCATTAACATTTTTGTTTAATATGATATACCCATTTTCTAAATGATGATACACAAAAGGTCATAGGTTAAAAAAAACTACTTAATGGGTTTGAGTTTGAGTTTCTCTTTGGTCGATCCTATCCATTATGGCTAGGATTTCACGACGACGTTAAGGTGGTTTTATGGTGGTAAGTGGTGGTTTCTTGATGGTTATTTCTAAATATTTCATTTTCATATTCGGCGGTTTACTTCTACAACGTAAGTGATAATCAAATAAAATCGAACTTGAAAGTTTCATCAGGTGGGCTTCGCCTATTTGGAGTTTTGTGTTCGAGTCGTCCATATTTAAGTTAAAACGGTGAATGATCTTTAGTCCTTACTTCATTCCTTAAACTTTGTATGTAATTGGGTGGTTCAACCTTGATGTTTATGTTGCCCCATTTGGGAGATCCATGTTTGAAGGTTATGTTCCAAAATCAATAATAGATAGGAAACAAAATCGACATCTTGTTAATAATGGAATTCTTGATGGACCCTCTTAGAATTATTCTCCATGGAATTCATTTGTGGAAATGTTGAATGGTGCTACTAAATCACAACCGGTCAAAGAAGGTATTGTGAAGTCTCCATCTTGTATAGTTTGTATTGCTTCTTGTCTAATAAAGTACAATATCACATTGCTTCTCTTTTTTGGAAATCATTTTTGTTGAATGCCTTAGCGAACTTAAATTCTGATTTTCATTATGTAGGATTCCCAAATATGGTCATAAAATATGCAAGTCCTATAGGTCATCCTCTTTTCACCTCTCATCAGTCTAACGAAAATTTTAATGATAGGTCCTAATATTGTGGTTTGGGCTAGGAATCCATCTGTATAAGTCTTGATAGGGTCTTGGGGTTTAGTTTGATGAATGTAACCTTTGTGTGTCTATGTACGGCTGGACATGTGTGTACGGCCGTACACCCTGTGTACGGCCGTACACGCGTGTGCGGCTGTACACTCGTGTACTGCTGGGTGTGCTATAAATAGTAGGTGTCTGTGTCTGTATTAGGGTGACGTATGTGTGTGTTTTCCAAGGTGTATTTGATGTTTATATGATATAAATGTATGCATGATTGGGGTTAATTCTTCTTCTACTCCTTCTACACTCTGATTGATTGCAATATCATTTGATCACTGATTTGGATCTTAGAATTCGGGACTTACATTTAATAACTTAAAAGCTTTGAAATCATGGTTTGCTTGCCTTGTGTCGTGGGTATATGGTATAGTCATGGAAAACCATCTTGTTTGGTTAGACATGGGACTCCTTTTTTTGGCTTGGAGAATTTATATAATTTCATACTTAATGTTAGGCGATTTTGGACACTAATACCTATTCTCGGATTAACAAGATTTGGACTTTAAGGATGGTTTACATTTATATGGTTTGTATTTATGTGGAAAAAACTATCAAGATGGATAGAAAGTCGATAATTATTTATGTAAGAATTTGAGTTATTCACACGTTATTCATAATCATACGTTCTTTTACAAAGATCATAAGCCGAAAGATTTTGACATCAAGGCGAGTGGTTTTTATAAATAATTTGACAGATATTCTAATTTTGAGGGGTTTCTAATATAGTTTTTGTATGAGAAGCTCAATTATCAACCTCAATCCACGATGTATCTCATAATCAAGTACTTGATGTAAGCGTCAATGATGATCATAGTTTTATCAATGGCAATATGATGGAAGAAAATGATTTATTAGATAAGATTGTAGTTGAAGAATGATAATCGCCTAGACAAAGAGGAACTTGATGTGAGTATCAATGATGATCATAGTTTCATATTGCACAATTGATCAACAAAAGTCTTTAAAGAATCCTAAGCCAAAGAAGGATCATATGATGTTACAAATTTTGGATCATGATGGATTTCAAAACATTAGTCATATCAACAAAAGCATAATAAAATACTTATCATGATACATCATTAGACCTATGCTCATCAAAAATTGCAACATAAACAAACAACATTAGGAGGGAGAAACAATTACCTTATAATTTTTGGATGA